GGAGTGATTTGATTGAGGTGTTTTATTCTTGTATTGTTTTAACTTGTTATACGCCGCCCCGGTTGCTTAGCAAGGGGTGGGTTAAAAATAAAATTTATTATTATTATTATTATTCCCTTTGTTGTGATGGCTGCAAACATCAGATTCAGAGTGTAAAGACTTTGGAAATGAGAATGTAAAGTTTGTCAAAGTGGGGAAGATAGGTGTTGCTTTCGTTGGGGGAGGAGGAGGAGAGAAGGTGGATCCTTTGCAGCCATGGCTGCTAACATCAGATTGATGGAAATGTGGTGGAGGCTATGTGTTTCAAGGTTTCAAAGAGAGTTATGGATGGTATTCTTGGTGGAAGAGGGCTCTTTATCATTCATGTTGGTGGGAGGGGGGCTAACATATTCATAGGTTTTCCACTTTTACAGGGGTTCTTGGCCCCTAACCCCCATGAATATGGAGGGGTGACTGTAACTCTGAATCAACTGAAGGACATGTAAGAACTTTCTCTGTTATGAAGGCACAGTTCCATCCATTAATCATCCATAACATCTTCTTTTGCTGCAGTAATATCAGCCACTTTTGGAGACATCTGGAGAAACTCTACTCCCAGCTCAGAACACCTAGGGTACAATCAGATGAAACGACAAATGAGATTCAGATAAGGTTAAAATGAAGAAGTGAAAAATAAAGTTACAGATTTTGCAGAGGGGAGTAACAAGGCAACTAAAAGTGCTTTTCAGAAACATTTATCTGAATAAATGAGCAATATTATATGCAAAAATGGCACATTGCCAAAAATAATTCAAACAATCTGGCAAAATCCCCAGATTGACAGATGTCATTTGAACAACTTTTTGTTTTTATCATTTTTCTTTCCATCTTAAAATCAATGCTGATTCAAACCTAAGAGGCCACAATGCCAATATAAAGCAAATGCTCTTCATCCCCTTCAATGCCTACATATGTTTCTAGTGTCCTTGACATATGGACCAGTATCCTATTAGTGTCATACAGCTGTATGCCTTCGCTTATACACACCACTTCACTTTTTCAGCCACTCTGTTAATGGTTCCATAAGTGGAGTTTCTCAACTGTAATCATTTTACATGGGCTTAAATCCTATAATTAGTCCTTATTGGAGTAGAGCAATTGGATTGAATTCACCTATATCTTGACCCACCATTCAACATATGAGTCTAGGACTGCACCTACACTGCAGAATTAATGCAGTTTGACACTGCCTTAACTGCCATGGCTCACTCCTTGGATTTTTGGGATTTGTAGTTTGGTGAAATATTTAGATTCCTCTGTGTGCTATGGTGCCCCAACAAACTACAGATCCCAGAATTCCATAGGATAGAGCCATGACAGTTGAAGCAGTGTCAAACTGCATTAATTATGTAGTGTGGCAGCAGCCTATTTTATTTGGAACTAACCAACAGGATCCCAGCAATTGGACATTCTTGGATGATGCACTTGTCAGCACCTTCCATGTTGTTATAACTAATTACTTTGTGAAAACAAGCTCTTGACATGTCCTCTCCCCCTTACAATCTTCCTCCACGTACTTGATAGGATTTATTGTTTGTTACTCTGTGGGCCAACTACAAAGTTAAGTGACAGAGCCTTGAACAAGTTAGAAAAGGACAGTGACTTGATTAGGGATGGTAATATCTGTCCATTTTGGTTTAGCCTATATTTTTTTCTAATCACAAATACCTTCTGACCCAACTTTGTGATCTGTGAATTTTGGTAAATTCTTCAAAAACAAACCGAAATATTTTTTCAGCCATTTGTGCTGGCCAAATTCAGTAGGTATAGCTGCTGTACCTATATGGCTGTATTCTGTCCCCATCATGGGGAAAAAACACCTACCGGTATGTTGCATCTGTCTGCATCTCAGAAAAATGAAATAGCAAGCCTAATTCAGCACTCATATGGTTGAATGCACAGCGCTTCAAGGACTGGATTTACTAGGTTCCCACCTGTGTTTCCATAAATTTTTAATAAACCATTTGTAACCCTTTTCTGCTAGCTGAGTTGATTTTTCTGTTTGGGTGGGCTTCCCAT